GCCCAAGAATTCAGCCGTTGGCGTGTCGTGACGATCATAAGACTGTTGTACTGCAGCAGTCTTCAGTCCTTCCTGCCACCAGCGTCACCATCCACACTGACGCTGTGAAGATACTTGGATGACTTTTCTTACAACAGGAATAAATTTCCCTTTGGCTTAAATAAGGCACCTTTGAATTCAACTGAGTCACATCAAATTCAAATAAAATGCATAGAAATTTGTAACATGAAAATGTGTGAAAAAAGTACATCAGTATGAATACTTTTTGTTTTTTTTTTATTTGTCATGTGCTCATCGTTTTCCTGGTTTACTGTTCTGTGTCTGATCTGCAGGAATTCATCAGCTCCCCGAGGGATAATAGAAGAACAGGGGATGTACTGTTGAGGCATTGAAAAGTCAATTTTCTTCTCTTTTGCCATGAGTCAGGGCTTTGCGTCTCATGACCACCCAGTCCTTCCTTTTGGAAATCAGGCAGTAGAAGGAGGGCGACTAACTTTAGAGGCTTTAATCATTAAAGCAAATTCCATTTCACATATCAAATGACTGGAAAGTGGGGTTGCTTTTTTAGCTGTGACGCGATTCAGATTAAATCATTCGTGCCACGCAGTTAGATAAACCGTCTCTTTCCTCTCCAAAACAAACAGTCGTCATCAGGCTCGAGTCCTCGTGTCGTACCACATTGGAAGTCTGTTAGCAGCTCAGCTTGCGTTTCAGATTTGTAGCTATCCGTCTTTCTTCCTGCTCGCATCAAAACCCGCTCAGGTGTGTTTTGAAGCGTGATAGGTTTTAGCATCCGGTAATCTTCAGTTTCCTCCCTCCAGGCGACTGGTGTGTTGTCCTCTTGTCAGAGATCTGTTTGACGTAGCCGCTCGAGCCCGCCAGCTGTGGTCAAAGGAGGAAGAAAAAAAAAAAAAAAAGGACAACCGCCATGAAGCGACCAGCGACAGTCAGTGGAGCAGCTCTGGTGGTGACAGGAAACAAGGACAGCGAACTGGAAGAAGCCGCCGGGTCGACTTTTTATCCGCCGTCAACTCTACTCCCACCCTCCTCCGCTCCCTTTGACTGTCCCCAGTATCCCCATCATCGTGTTCTCGCCCGCAACACTCCGCTGCACCAAAAACTGCTTCTGTCCACCTTTCAGTGCTAACGTTCTTAAAAAGCACCACCCTGCCAGCATGCCTAGGTGGGCCCCATGTGGGGAAAAGGAGGGCAGGCCATATGGGTCCCATATGGGTTTGTCCGCGGGTCCCACGATGGCCCCACATGGGTTTGCCCATGTAGGGCTACAGCCCACACGGGCCCTACATGGGCCCTATATGGTGGTGCCCCACATCGGTTTGTCCATTTAGGGCCCATGTGGGCTGTGGCTCCTTTCCACCACATGGGGCCCACCTAGGCATGCTGGCTCAAAGCCACTGGGCTCATGTTAAAATACCAGAAATAAATTCCCCTTTTTGTGGTCAAGGGGGAAATAAATGGAAGCAAAAAAAAAAAAAAAAGTGCCGTCCATTAAATATGTAATAGAGTAAATTTTTAAAGTGCTGAGAAAGGCTGACGAGGCAAGAGTGTCTTGAGGGAGCAAAAGTAACGCAGGTAAAGACAAGGTCATAGACGGACTTTTCTGCACCATCGCAGCAGATTTAGTTCTTAAGCTGGAGTGGAAACTGAGAGGTTTTCGGTGAAACGCTCAGAAATGAGCCATGTCTGGACCACAGCGAAGGAGCAGATAAAAAAATAAAAAAAAGCCCAAGAAATAGGCTGTAGGGCTCAAAATCAGATGGTTGTAGTTTTACTTTAGCTTGTTGGTTTATGTCTGGAAGAATCAAATTGAACTTTTTGACAGGTGACCAACAGTGTTGGCAGTTTGGGGATGTTTTTTCCTCCAGCATCGGCAAGGAAGCTTGTGAGATTCGAGATGGTGAGGACTGGGAGGCGTATCCGGTGGCAGCAGGAGAAATGACTCTTAAACAAGAGCAACAATGTAATGGATTAGGGCCAAACCTTTTCAGGGCTTAGCATTCGTACTCGCATTTCATCCAGCTGGATTGATCTGAAACGAAATTTTGAAAAGACGAGCAAATGTCATTTGAAGTTTTGGAACGGTTTGTTAACCTTGAGATACGAACAGCTAAAAGTTTGTGTACGGTTGTGTGTGTGTGTTTTTTTTTTGTTTTTTCGTGTTTACCGAGGTCTTTGTTGAATAATTTGTGTTCTGGAATATCCCTGCTGGTTCGACTGCTCCCTTCGCTTGTTTGTTCCTTTCTGTTTTATGCATAAAAGTTTCCCATTTTAGAGTAGATGCAAAAAGAAACGGAAGGAAAAAAATGGAGGTGAATGCGAAGAAGTTCCAAAAAAAAAAAAAAAAAAAACTCAACTACTGTGTACAATGGATTGGTAGACTTTTGCCAGGCTTGCCTGTGAACATCTCCGCAAGCCCTGCAGGAGACTTAAGCCTCCCTTCGGGGCCTTGGCTTCGGCTCCAGGACTCGGCAGGGAAGTAAAACGATTACTGTCGTCTGTGTCTTTTAAACAGCCTTCCTTAAGCCTTTTAGCTCCCCATTCATTCTTTCATCCCATCCAGTCATAAAGAAATCAAAGAAACGTGCCTCCTTGTGAGGGAGAAGAAAGGGAGCTCAAACATGCAGTAGAAAAAAAAGGATTTTATGGACCTTGTCTCGCTGTCATGTTGTTAGGCCCCGTACACATGTGCGCGTCTTTACGCTGATTTATTATGGTACAGCTTTAGAGCCGTAAAGCAAACAGAGGCCTAGTGGTAACAGATGTGTGGGGAGTGAGTAAAGCGGGGTAATCCAGACAAGCTACCGTGGACTTGTGCGAGAAACGGGTGTTTAGGATCAGCGTGCGCTCCACGCGGTCCTGCCTAATAGGTTTTGTTCTCGGCGAGAGAACCGGCTTTCCTTTTCTCCCCGAAGCCCGTGGCAGCGTCACATTATCGCCTCTTTAATCACAGAGAAGCCAGGTGCTCCCGTCACAATCAACCTCCTTGTTAACCCGTCGCCGCAACTGTTTGCAAACGCATTTTCAGCTCCGCCGTCAGCAGCGTTACGGTTTTCCCGTCAGCGGCCGGCAATTAATTGTGACCATGTATGCTGCACTCAGTGATGTAAATGTTTGATACCTCCAAGCGTATCGTCTGCTATTATTTAACCTCTAGTCTTCCCCCCCCCCCCTCCCTTGTTCCCCTCAGCAAACCCTTCCCAATCGGAGACAGAGTGACGTTCAGCGGGAAGGACTGCGTGTGCCAGCAGTGCTCCCACACACTTGTCAAGTCAAATGAGCCCATCAAGATCCACGGGCCGAGTCGTGAGTTGAGCCGTCGCCTTGCTCTGTCTGTTCCGTTTAGACCCACCAGGCGCTGCAGTCTGCTCCATCCAAACACGCCTGGTTTGAAAGATCTCTCTCTCTCTCTTTTTCTAATTTAGCTAATCGAGTGCCTGTCAAATCACTCATCGGGCCTCTCCTGTTGATCTGGCAGCTTACAAGTCATTCAACAAATGCAACATTTACTTTGTGTTGCCGACACTTAGCGGGCGGAGAAGCTTCTTTCCACACTCGTGCTCTGCTGCACTTGGACTTGCTCTTTCCTGTCCCTTCAAATTAGGAAAGGCTCGGAGTTTGCCTTGTTAGGCAAAAGGCAAGAAAGGGAATATATAAGATCATGCAGCAGCGCGACAGTCGCTGATGATGGATTGTTTTAAATGTGTCAGGCGGTCGGCACATCGCCTCGCACAGTCTGTGGAGTTTTTAAGCAGATGGTGAAGCAGGAATGGATGCAGTGTCCCCCAGATTGCTCCATTTAGACAAATAAAAGGCGAACAGCTCCCCGGGTACAGTGTTTATCACTCTGCGTTATGAGGGAACACTGTGAGTGGGAAGTGCAAACAATAAAAATGAACCACTTTTTTTTCTGAAAAAGATAATATAACTTGCTTTGCACCGCAGTCGTTCAACTACAACTTATGAAGTGCAAAGCGGTTGTCTTAGGATGCATTCCCTTGAAAAGTTACTGTGTGGATGTGAGCTTTGCTATGCATGAAATAAATCCTCCTTCTTGTTTAGTCACAACACAAAACAAGGTAGCAAAAATATGATAAAAAAAAGTTTTTATGCAATTAGTATTGTAAACTTAACTGATTTGGGAGAATCATATTCGATAAAAAAAAAAAAATTCGGAATAGCACCATTTACAGCGAGGTTTAACAACCAAGTTTAACATTTTTTAATCTCCCCAAACAAATTTGCATCACTTAAATTTGTCAGTACAAACCACTAAAATGTCCAAGTTCAGACAGTCAAATTTTAACTATAATACTCTACAGTCCAATTTAGACCTTTGTTTAATGACAAGTTGCATAAAATTATCTAGCAAAAGAATGAATAGAAGGAAACTTTGCTCCATCGGGATATGAAGAAACAGTTTGTCCTGTAAATTGGATGTTAATTAAATGTTTGTTTGCTCATCACGTCAAATAACTAGACATGAACAGAATTAGCTTTATTAAAGAGACAAAAAAAAAAAAGCAAACAGAAGACTTTACAAGCAGATTCCTCTTGTTGCTTTTCAGTCTTAATCTAGCATCAAGTTGTTAACTTGATAGAAGTGAGTGGAGGGGAACAAATCCTGTTTTTGAAAGTCATGTGGAAGTATGTCTTATATGGAAAGAAAAGAGAACAGGGTAAGAACATAAAGAACTAAGCTTTTTAGGAACATGGAGTCTCCCCTGCCAGATCCACAGGACAGGCCCAGTGAGTGATTAGACAGGCACTCGATTAGCTAATTAGAAAAAAATAAACTTAGCATCAATAGCTAAGTTAATTTCTTTCAGGATAGAGAATTACCAAGCCAGATGTACCTTCTTTTCATTTCTAGGAATGAAAGAAGGTTCTTGTAGCTAGACTAAATGATGAGATACAATAATATGTATATACACATTTTGTTATATGTATAAAAGTTAAAAATACAGTTTATCTTTTTACTGCATGATGGTTTACGATACCCACATAGTTAAAGTCCTTCATTGTCCCTGGCCTGTTGGCGAACTTTGTTTTATATCCTCCTCCTTATTCACTCTGTATATTCTTTCCTGACCCGCCCTATAAATTGATCTTTTTCTTTTCTCTTTATGGAGGTTTGCCTCCGCGTTAATTTAGCAACCGCAGTAAATCAGCAATAAATGCCAGGGCAGCCCTGCACAGCATATGGGTATTCGTCCCAGCGTGATAATAGAAGAGTCGCCGTGATCGACAGAGGAGGTGTTGCTTTACTTATTTATGAAACGCTTCAGCTGTTGCCCACAAAGTGATTTGTTCCCATTTTTTACCTGTGCAGTTTGTAAGCCGTGTGGTGAAACTGCTTTTTTTGGGCATGTGCAAAAAAAAAAAAAAAGTCTGTGGAAACGAGCACTTTGAACCACACAACTCTGTTTGTTGTTGTATTGAGTGTTTTTCCTCTAAGTTTATATCTTCTAGAGCAGAAAATGTCGCTGTCGACACGGTCACTGGTCAGGGCCAATCAGGCTGAAAATCGCCAGCATTCCTTGATTCAACCATCCGTAATTGTTGCAGGATTTAATGTACGTGGTAATGCAGTGTGTAGTCCCTAAATGTAAAACGTTGCGTCCGCACTTCCTGAATGACATCGAATTGGCTCTTTACACTTTAGTGACGACACCACGAAGGTTTTTGTGGATGTAAAAGCCTGAGTCAGTAAAAATTCAAGGTTTGGCTGATTGTTTGTGAGCTAAAAAGGCAAAGTCATGCAGTTCTTGGCGATGCGGTGACTTCTGTTTGAGGGCGTGGGCTGGGTCAGAAAAGGTTAAGCCGAGCAAAGTGTCTCCCAAATGGAAATAAATGCACTGACCTCATTTCATTTATTTTTTTTTTTTTAGCTGTGCAGCCATGCATCATTTGCAAGCTCTGAGCTGTCCCGTCTGCTTTCCTTATGCAACCTGCGATGGTCACACCTGCTGGGGCAAACGCCTCAGGGCAGCTAAATGACCAATATGCTTTAATGTGGGAAAACGTTGAAATGAAAAGCAAGATGCAGAAAGTGTCAAAAGAAAGCCGTTTTCACAGCGAAAGCTCGCTCACCTCCTCGTTGGGTTTGCGTGCTTCTTCCTCATTTTTTTTTTTTTTTTTTTGTCCCCGTTCATCCGTTTTGTCTCGTCTTCCTCTTTTTTTTCCAGACTGTGCTGGGTGTGGAGCAGAGATCAAACAGGGTCAGTCTCTCCTGGCACTGGAGAAACAGTGGCACGTCAGCTGCTTCAGATGTCGGACGTGCAACATGGTTCTCACGGGGGAATACATCAGCAAGTGAGTGCGTAGAGATGGGGGGTGGGAGGGGGGGGTGATGCGGCGTTTCCAGCCGCTTCCTCCATCTCCGCTTTCCCTCTCAGGGCCAGAGCTGGACGGGTTGTGCATTTCGGCCCAGAAAATGGAAGAAACGCCTTTTATGTTTTCTGTGATGCAGGGACGGAGCGCCGTACTGTGAAGCGGATTACCACGCCCAGTACGGGGTGAAATGTGAAACGTGTAACAGATACATCAGCGGACGGGTCCTGGAGGTGAGATTGGAGCATGAAGTGATGCAACAAAAAAAGAAAAAAAAAAAGAATGGATGAATTGAAATCTAAACAGAGAGATTAAAGGTATTAACTTGGTGCAAATCAGCGTTATCGGAGTTAAACAGCAGCGTTTCGTTCTCAGCTCGGACTACGTTCCGCTGAGCTTTAGGGGAGCGGGAGGTTTAAGATCAAGGGACGATAAGTAGCTTAAAATAAATCAGATTCATTTCATCCGTCAGTATTTCCACTCCCAACATTTTTGGAGGAGATAACGGGTCTACCTGCATAAACGGGGAGGGAGTAAAAAGTTGCACCAAATTCTGCAAGAAGTGAAGAGGAAAATTGGAAGCTATAAAAAGATTTGAGGGGGGGGGGAAGAGGAAGGGGAAAAGATGGCTGAAGGAGAGACAGACGTTGAGAGCAATTTCTGCTGTGATAAAAAAAAAAAAAAAATCCCCATTTGTGCTTTTATGCCAAAGTAGTCAGCGTTTGAAAGGAGGGCTGCAGTGGAAAATGAGCTCAGGGTGAACGGTAACAAAACGGCTCTGGGGAAAAAAATAAAAAAAGACTGTAAGGGAGAAACTATTACAATAGTGGAGGCAAAAAAATGATTAAAGTCATTATGCACCGGTGCTAATTAAATGTTTTGGAGGGTTTTTTAAAGGTGTTTTTTTTTTTTTTTTTTTTTTTTTTTTTTTTTTGCTGTCATGAAAATGCGTTGTTAAAAAGAATTGTCGGACGAAAGAAATAAACATACAAACACAAACACACTGCACCTCTTCGTCCCTGTGGTCCTTTGCTTGTCAGAACTGGTGGTGTGAAGTGCTTTGTTCCTGACTGCCAGCCTCTCTGGGCTATTTATAGACATGAGGACATGTCTGCTTTTATCCGCAAGTCTCTCTCTCTCTTTTTTTTTCCCCCTACAGTGCTCTGCAAAAGTACAGACACCCCTTGACCTTTTTTTTTTCATATTTTTTGGACACGTTCGACAAAACCTTTAATTGTGTATTAAACAGCTTCTGAGGTGGATGGAATATGACTCCCTAGCAAAACATTTTTTGCAAATAGGTGTTTCCCCTTTTTTTTGATCTTGTTACCTATGAAAAAAGTACATGCAATCCTGTTTTGTTTCCAATTTTCCAAGTTTGGCGTTCCCTCTTATCGACAATCTTAAATAACAGAACTCAACAAATCTGAATTAAATTCAGCATGAATTCGGCTGTCCTGGGGGCTTGCTGGCATTCAGATGCGAACACGGTAAACGTGGAGGAGCTGCAGGGAGAACGTGTCAAAAGGACAGCTGTGTTCATCATTCACTCCACAAACGTGGTCTTTAAGGAAAAGGCCCAGAAAGAAAGCGATTGGTGGAAGGAAGTCCCTTCTCTGGCAGCTTGACATAATCCATCTGGGGTATAGGGAGGAAAGTGTTCAGGGTCAGATAAGAACAAAACTGAACTTTTGGGCTACGTTCAAAATATTGCGTGTGAGGGAAAACTAGCACTGCTGTTCGCCCTGAGCAACTGCATCCATATGGTGAAAAACTGTGGCGGCAGCATCGTGCTGTTTATTTTTTATTTTTTTTTAGAACTGATGTAGAAGCTGTCAGAGTCGACGGGACGTGTGTGCAGCTGTTAGAAACCGTAACTAGAAATGTAATCTTTCACTTCATTGTGACTTTATCACTTAAAATCCCAATAAAAAGTAATCGGGTAATGTAACAAAATGGGAAGAAAAAAAAATGTTTAAGGTTATGAGAACTTTGTTTTCTTCCCTGCTGCACGCCATAGACCCCGACTAATTGGTGTGTGTTACTGATTACGCTTCATCAGCAAAAATATTGACCCGATATCGAGTCCAACTTTTCAAAACCAGATGCCGTGTATTTAATGAGCAGTTCTTTTTTTTTTTTTTTTTTTAAGTCTAGGCTTAGAAAGGGAGAGAGAGTAAGAAGCAGGATCATTACACCGTTGCCTCTCAATAAATTCAGCAGCCTATAAATGCCCCTACTGAGAATAGGTGCATCATTAGAAACTGGTTGAACTGACACAGTTTCGCCTGGTGACGGTAAACACTCTGAAAACAGGACATGGAAGTACGGTAATTCATGTGTTCCCCTAGCCTTTCCTTTCACAGTAACCCGAGCGCCTAAAACAGCTTTGGCCCTGGTATTCTGAGACGCTACTTGTAGACAATTGGGAATCCAGCTTTACGCTGTTCCTGTTCCTGCAGGTCACGTAAAGAGCTATCTCCTCTAATAGAAGCAGAAAAAAAAATCAGCGTGGCATGAAATTACATAAAAACGATACTCCCAGCACACACACACACACACACACATGCACAGTTGTGTTTTCGTGTCTTGTGGGGACTTTACATTGACATTCATTCATTTTCTGCAGCCTTATCATAACCCTACCCCTAACCATCACGTATCTAACCCTAAAAACAGCATTTCCCCTCAGGGGGACCGGGATTTGTCCCCACAAGACGCAGTGCTCCCCACAACCCTACAGTGTAGACAGAAATAGGGCCCCACAAGGATATAAAAACCTGGTTCACACACTCGCCGACACACACACACACACGCACACACACACTAGGCCATGCTCCTATAAATAGAATTCTGGAACGGTGTGAGAGCAGACTGAGGTGAGAGGACGTGGCCACGCCTCAGTCATTGGCACTGCAGAAGCACATCTGGTCCATGAAGTCACCTTCGCCTCCTACATGTGTATATATACAGGTCCCCTTATCCAGGTGCTTCACATTATTGAGTCCTTAATCAAATTAGATGCTGTGTCCTGCAAAAATATCCATCACAAGCTTAAACTTTTTCACATTTGGTCCTAATACAACCAACAATTCAGTGTCTATAAGTGTTTTTTTGTTTTTGTTTTTTTAAAATCACAGATCAACACAGAGTAGTTCATATGTTTTTCACAAATATAAATCAAACTATAGTGGTACTATTTTTTTCACCGCCGTCTGACCTAACAAGTCAAACTGCTTGAGTCGAACTTAGTCTCAATATAAATGCAACTTTTTTTTTTTTTTTCTGTAATGGCCTCAGACGTTTCTTGGGGAACATTAGTTCATGAAGCTTTATGAATACCAGGTAATAAAAGTAGACAGGTTGGATCATGGTTTGGGCATCTCACAGAGGACTGTTCAATTCTTCAACCAAAAATGGAAAAACATGCAGTTGGTCTAAGCACATGTTTACTACTACGACATGACGGCCACCTAAACTGTGGGGGTGGGGGGGGGAAGCAATGACCTAATATTGCTTACCTCGACCTCTTTGGAAAGATTGCCGAGATCCTCAGATGAGCTTCGACTCCACAAGTTTACCCTTCATGGAAGAATGGCTGAAGGGAAGCTATTGTTAAAAGGAAAAATATGTACAATATTTGCATATACAGTTCATTTACAGTTTAAATAAATGCAACTTTAACTGCAGGGAACGGTTGTTTTATTAACTACTGCTTGTGCACGTGCCAAACTTTAGGCGCTACGTTTTGTTCGTTTTGAATTTGCTCCTTGGGTGTGACTGCAGCACGAAACGGCACGAGGCTTTCCAGTAATGTCTCAACACAACGAGGTCACTGGAGGTCAGGTGACGCACTCTGGGAAAACATACGGAGACGATGTCCGGCACGAGACGGGTTCAACATCTTGCAGATTAACCCCCTTAGTCCGTGAGGTACTTCGTTATGATAATTTATGCTCAGTCACTCCTCTTTCTCTCAGGCAGGAGGGAAGCATTACCATCCGACGTGCGCTCGATGTGCCCGCTGCAACACGATGTTCAAAGAAGGGGAAGAGATGTACCTGACAGGTGAATCTCCGACTGCATCAGCACAAGAAGCTGGCATGCTCACTCCACTCAGAAATAACCAGAGTAGATGAACGCGCGGCATGCTTTCCTCCTTGTCGTCAGGTTGCGAGGTGTGGCACCCGTTATGCAAGCAGGCCGCAAGGGCGGAGCGAAGACTCAGGGTGAGCTGGGTGCTTTCGCCGAAAAGCTTCGGATAGATAAAAATGCGACTTGACTTGACTTGGCGTCCTCATCTTTCTTCGTCTGGCGTTTTCCTCACAGCACAGACGCCTGTCGGAGACCTCCATCTCACCGCCAGGATCCTCCATAGGTTCTCCCAGCAGAGTTATATGTGTAAGTAACCAATGCATCTACCAGCTTCCAGTCACTATTCCACATAGAAGCCATATTTAAGTTCATTCGGCACCCCAGAAACGGCATTCAACCATGAAAGTTGGATCTTTAAGCACTGAAACACAAGGCCCCTTTACTCCCTTGGCCTGTTCACCTGTCTGTGTCTTACCTCATCTGATTATGGTTTAAGTGTCTTGTGAAGCTGCTTGGTGTTACAGTGGGAAACGCAACACTTTTGATCCCTTTGCTTGTTTTATCATCCGAGATCCAAGTCTTACACTTTGTCAAAGTCTTTTCTAAAGCATTTGGCATCGTGAGCTAGTTTTATTTTATTTATTTTTTTTATTTCAGCTGTGCTAAGGTTTGATTTGAGATCAGAGAGTTCCCGAGGCAGAACAGTGTTTTAGTGTTACGTTTAGTCCAGAAAGTCCTTCCATTATGAGTAGTAAGGGAATCTGAGTTGAGTTTAACTCCGTTAGGCAATAAAGGGAAGTTTATCCCTTCTTGCCAGAGTTTGAGATTCCCAATGCCTTGTAGAAGTTTTCATGCCCTTTAACATTTTTCTTTATCTTTCACATCATAACAAATTTCAATATATATATATATTTTGTCTATTTAAAAGTTTGTGCTCAGTTCTCCTCAGTACAAACTTGGTTGTTGTCCAGCTGGAAAATTAACTTCTGCCAACCAACTCAAATATTTTTGCAGTCTCTAACAATTCTTCTTCCAGAATTACTTTGTTTTTGGGTCTGTCTGGCTTTTGGTCATCTTCCTGAGCCAATGTAAAGAAAGGCCTCCCCACAACTTGATGCTTTCACCATCATATTTAACAGTGGAGATGACATAAAAGTTGTCATCTACAATGGTATTTTACGAGTCAGGAAGTTATATTTAAGTCTCATGTGACTGGACCACAAACTCTTTTTTTTTTTAGGTCTTTCTATGTTAAGAGTTTGAAAACCATTTTTGTTTTGACACTTCACAATCATGCGCTACTTTCTGTTGGTGTGTGTCACACTAAACCCTAATACAACGAGCTGGAATTTCAGCAATATAAGCAAATGACTCAAATGGGTGTGAAAACTTTGGAAAGGCGATAAACTCCCTTGAGCGTATAGAAAAACGATTGCTAGTGTGAAGCTAAGTGGGGTTAGCAAGTGAAAAACAGAACTTTCCCGGTCACTGAAGATATATATTTAGTCATCTATGTAACATAGAGTGAAAGTAATTTACAATGTTTAACAAGAGCTGAGCAGATATACAGATGTGCAGAAAGCAGCAAATGTAACCGTTGTCACTGCGCAGAGCTCAGAGTTGGACCAGGTCCATCGTTTTAACAGCCATCAGCCTGCTGCTTGGCACTCTGCTGAGCGCTGCTCTACGTGACAGCTACATTTGCATGTCGGCGCTCGTCTGCATGCGTGCAGGGCTCGCTGCTCCCTGCCCTTCCTTACTCTGCTCCTCTCACATAATCGACGACCTTTCTGTTTAAGGTGATGGATGATGGAGAATCGCAGTGTAAGCAAGCGTGTCGTGCGTACTGTCTCCTCTCCCTCTCCCCTCCTTCCTCCTGCTTGTGACTGTCTGTGCTTCTCCGTCCTTATTTCCGACAAAAGCCCAGCTCCCTGCGGTCAACAGCTCGCAGCTCTGCCAAGCTCTGCTGTGTGCATGAGCTTGTTTGTCTGTTTTTTTTTTTTTTTTTTTTTTTTTTTTTTTTTTTTTTGGGCTTGTGCCTGCTCCATCAGCTTTCGTTGCTCCTCGCCGCCACCGGAGCTCGCGTCGCAACGTGTGACCATTCGTTGTCCATGTGGTTGACCGTCTTGTCTTGTCTTGTCGCTGCTGTCTCTGTCTGTGGTCGGTGGGTGTGTGTGTGTCCTCTCTCCAGGCCAGAGTGGAGAATGAGATCTTTGATTATAAGGACCTTGCTGCCCTGCCAAAGGTCAAGGCCATATATGAGGTCCAGCAGCCAGATCTCATATCCTCCTCATACCAGCCATTCCACAGATACACCTCTGATGAAAGGCTAGACACTTTCTCCTATGTGGAGGTACTGCTGCCACACACTTGCTGTCTAATGAACCATCGTGTTGTTCCCGTCTATTTTCCATTTTTAAGATTTTTAAGGAGCAAACATCTCTGCAAGTGGTTTAGATCGGGTTTTTATTTGGCAAAACATGACGTTTTAAATATTATAACTATATTAGTAGATGAATGACCACAAAATGCTTCATCAATTTATGTGACTGTCTTTAGCCATTGGAATGTACCGATACCACATCCCAGACTGATCATTTGTTAAAATGTGCTTGAAAACTGGGTAACTTCAAAGTGCAGAAAGAAAAAGGGATTTTATTTCATCAGCATTACATTGTCGACATTAGCACTGTGATAGTGTCGAACCTGATTCGCTCAGCAGTGATGCTCCAAATGCTGCAGGTTTTTTTTTTTTTTTCCTGACAGTCACTGATATTCCACCTGAAACGAGATTAGCTTTATCCTTTATAAATAGGAAACACAGTGGATTCAAGATCATGACAAATTGTGTTATTGGACACATAACCTGAAAAACAAATGAAATGTGTTTAAGTAAATAACCTGGAAAACCTGCTTGCATATTTGACAAATGTTTTTTTTTTTTTGTTTGTTTCCTTGTTTTTTGTTTTTTTTTTGCACCTTTTGGTTCAGTTTCACCATTTGGTATTTTTGGGTACACACACTACACATTTATAACCACTTGAATTAACTTGAAGTAAACTTCAGCTTCCTAAGAAGGATTATCATGACATTTAATCATTTGCATCCTCTAGCTAAACCCAGGGTTTAAAAGAACTTGTACAAAGGTATTTGTCAGGACAAGGGGACAATCATAACTTTACAAAGACTGGATGTTTCTCCAAAAGTGATGAAAACACAAGACTGAAACTTATCTGGGAGGAAGACAAAAAACAAACAGGCAATCAGGAGGGAGCTGTACAAATTATTGCTACATGTCACAACAGTTTCTTACATATTTTAGTCCAGATTAAGGGACAAACTATAGAGCAGAAGCATTTTCTTTCAATAAAAATGTCCTGGTTTGGCTAAAATATTCTAAAAGTTTTTGGGAGAATTGCCTTAAGGTCTGGCAAAGTTACATTTCACTTTCAAAAGATGCGATTGACTTAAAAAGGATACCACACTGGCTGTAAAATATGGTAAACAATTACTATAATATGGATTTTTTTTATTTGATTTCCACTTGAAATCATGAACCTTTCCATTAATCTTACATATTTGACCCAAAAGTATCTGGTGTCTGTCTGATAATAAATAAAAAAAAGTCAGCCTGACGAAGGCTGTGAACAATCTAAAGTTTTTACAATCTAAAATATTACCTAGTAAAGATGTGGTTCAGTAACATAGTTTTCCCACAGATTGCATGTTTGTGTTTTGAAAAATGGGATTTTTCAACAAATTATTAGCCTTAGAAAGTGCACAGTGCACCTGTTGTGTTTATTAGCTTTAGTTCATGATAAATAATAAGTAATGAACTTGTTTTGTTTTTTTTTTTTAGTATATATATGTTAGAGTGAAGTTCCTTTAAGTCCTGTAAGGTTAATGATTGTCTAATAGCTTTACACCACAAAAACTGGACTTTTTGAAAGATGTTTGAGATCCAGTGCCTCACACATGCAGCTTCATTTCTCCTCAAATAACTTCTTCACGGCTCATCGGATTATGTTTTCATCTGAAGCAGAGGCCGAGAGGTTAGGCAAACATCAGCATGTTTTTAATGTGTTTTGATATGACTTGTTGATGATTCATCCTGTAATATCTCTTTTTTTAGAGGTAGTATTTTAACCTTTTTTTTTTTTTTTTCGGTTTTGTGATCTCTGGTTTGCAGCAGCAGCTCTGACTGCTTCTTAAAACACTTGGGTTTTTAAGAAAACTGTTGATTTTTTTTTTTTAAATCAATTATATGAGTAACAGAGGTTAGCCCAACTTTATATACCGACCACATGAAAGTATGCTATTGTTTGAAAAACATTTTTTGTTTTGGTATAAATTCCAAATGTTTACCCTCTTTTACTGACATTTTTCCTACTCTTGCAACATCCTTTTAGCCTTTAATACACCGCCTAATGTTACTGTCTGTCTCCATTGGTTCCACAGTCCCTTGGAAATCTCTCTCCGTATTCTCAGGTAAGCGTTTTTGGTTTGAATCAAGTGGAAGAGCGGGTCCCAATAAGTAAACCATTGTCAGAGTTTCTGTGGTTTGTTGTTCTTTGCAACGACATAATTTATTTGTCGTTGCAGGATTATGACCATCCGGATGCAAAGCAGCTCCGATGCCCCATTCCAGGTTATATTGACTCCCCGACTTACAGTCGTCAAGGCATGTCACCCATCATGCCTCGCTCTCCACAGCACTTTGTCTACCCTGGTAAGAAAAGTAGTGTGTAACTCAAATTGTTTTCTTGTTTTTACAATATCTGTTGTCAAAAGTATTTTTTTTAGGTTTTAACCATAAACTTAAATTAATTTTATTGGGAATTTATGTGACAGACCACCAGGAATTATGGTGGCAGCACCATTCTTTGGGGACGCTTTTCTTCAGCAAAGGACAGGGAAGCTGGTCCAGTTTAATGGGACGGAAAGAGCTAAACACTGGATGCCAGTCAAAGAAAAGCTTCTAGAGGCTTCAAAATACATCAGAGTTTTGCATTCCTGCATGAGAATAACTCCAAAATGGATAGTCAGAGGTGCTATGGAGTTGTTTAAATCGGCGCATATTCATGTACAGTCCAAAGTAGCGACCTAAATAAAATGCAGAATCTGTAACAGGACTTACAGATGTTCCTCATTCAGCCTGACTGAACTCGGGCAAAGACAAAATGGTCAAATTAGTCAGTCACGTTGGCCTGTCACATAAAATCCCTATAAATGCAGCGATGTCTGTGGTTGGAAATTGACGAAAAACAAAAACAGTTCAAGGGTATGAATGTTTTATAGGAACTGTCTAGTTGCTAATACTGTAGAATTTCAGAAACTGCCCATGTACTCCCTATTTCCATGATTTTATCATCAACATGCCTTCTCAGTAGTTATAAAAGCCCTAAGTGATGCTAATGGGACAGCATAGCTTACCTCCCGACAACAGAATGTTGCTGTACTTGTTTGGCTGCTTCATTTGCTGGACTTGTTCCTCTGCTGACATTTCATGTTACTCTTACACTTGTGCAGTGGCGCCGTTGATCCTGCAATTGGAAAGCTGCTCTGTAAACAAGCTCAATAGTACTTTGCATTACACAAGTGGAAAAGTTATTCTTGCTCATTTGCGAATGTTGACAAATATCTGAGCGCATCTCATTCGCATGTGTCAACACCTTTTTCCCTCATGCTCATGTCTCCTTTACTCTGACTGGCTGTGGCTGGCTACAGGCTCTGAGAGTGGCAGGAGTTCACCCTGTTATGGCCAAGAGGGGCGATCAAGCACACCCACCACAAACCAGCCCCCTAAACATTTTCATGTTCCAGGTAGGCCTTCACGTTTGCCCCGCCCCCCACTGCAGCCGCCACCACTCTCAACTTTTTCCTTTTCCTTTCTTTTCAGCGAATGCCATCAGTCGCGGTTGGCTAATGCCAAAGCATTCTGACTGTTGATGTTGTGCCTGTGGCAAAATATGACCGAGTTGTGTTTCTTTGCAACAAATTCTTGTTCGTTCATTTCCCTCCCTTCTACCTTCCACCCCACAAACCCAGTAGAGATTCACAGCCTCTCCCTTTGACGCTCCTTCACGTTTCACCTCTCCGTCTCCTGTTTCTCTCCTCAGCCACAGGGGATCCCAACATCTACAGGAAGCCGCCCATCTATAAGAGAACGGGTACAGTTTAGTTCGGTCCCGCCTCGGCCTACCCTCCCCGTTCCTGTCAGTTTTAGTCGTGCCGTGGTCGTGCTCCTCTTCGGCTCCACCCCCCGATGCTCCTCCTCGGCATCGGCGTAGCGTGTAACCTCCGCTTTGCAGCGAGAATTCAGAAGCGCAGAAACGCGCTTGCTGAGTTTGTTCTCGGAGCCGAGGGAAAAAAAGATCTGTGGTATCATTTGCATTTGTGGCAGTAGCTAAATGTGGAAGAGCTGTGTTTCATGTGCATGCCAGAAACATCATGATCCTACTTTTGCACACAGTCCATGACGAGTCCATGCGAATGAAGGAAGGGGTTTTGCTCAGGCCCAGTCCTCCGAGAACAGAACGGAGCCAAACAGAGAACGGTGCAAAACCGAATTAGAAAAGCAACTTGTTTTGGCCCATTTACTGTATTTCCCAGCCGGCAGACATGTTGGCGATCCTAGCCGTGCATTTGTGCCGTCGTTTATCCAACTGGCACCCTGGCGTGGTTAACACAAGATGCTTTTTAGCCATTTTTCACAAATCATTAAACCCGAATGCTACTCCGCCATCTGTATAGCATGCTTCAGCGCATAATTAAGATTTGCTGTCCTCTCATCACACTGCACTCCAAAAGGCTTTTTCAGCTGAGAGTCACGGGATCTGCAGGCTGACAACGGTTCATCTCCACCCTTGTCCTGCATGCTCGTCCGTGCTGTGGGTCAGTTAGCGTGTCGACCCGTGAATAGACGTCATCTACCTCCCTATGTTCCTCAGCTTGAAAGATTATTTCATCACTGGTCAAAATGTTTTCATTGGAAGTAAGAATTTTTCAAAAAAACCTGTAACCCTCCACCCGTGTTATCAATCCTAAGTGTCCTTTATGCTCTGCTTAAGTGACATTCATTATTTAATTCTCTAAATTCAGATCTTCACAGATTTAGACCTTAAATCTGATTTTCCTATTCATTTTTGTTTTTTTACATCAAGGCCAGTAATGAATGAATCATTTAGCCGGCTTGCAGCACATGATGCAAAAAAGCCGCGTGGAAAGCCTTCCCGGCTTTGTGCTCATCCGAGCAAAGCCGTCACATTCTCACACCTCCCTCAGGGATGCTCCAATAATGTTTCCCTTTTCTTTTTGCCTTCTTTTTTTTATTGCATCCAATCACTTTTATTCACTTCCCTCCACCCTCTGCTCCACTTTGCGCCGTGACCTTGCCTCTGTAAGTATCCCCCTCCTCTCGCTGTTTAACTCAAGTCTCAGTGGATGGATGATTTGTGTGCATGTGTGTGTGTGTGTGTGTGTGTGTGTGTGTGTGTGTGTGCGTGTGCGTGTGTGTGTGCCTCTGCGTGTGTGCCACGTGTCCGTTGGCGTTTAGTTGAATGTGTCGTGAAGACGAGCGTAGCATCGTTTGTCATGCACGCAGGTATTTGATTGGTCATGGATCGGGGGCTGGTGTGGCTAATGGCTGGCAGAATGAAGAGTGATCTATGTGGCATTACAGTGCATGCGTTATCGCCCATTTACATCCATCGACTGCGCTCGAGTGCAGAGCGGCGTCGGTGTCATGGCGTTGTGGTGCTTGCAAAACGACTGTGAGCTTCGGGCTAAGCTGTAACTGAACCCATTTTTAATCCGACTTGTTGTCCTGCTGCCATTGGCTGAAAGTATTGATCTCCGCTGACAGTGAAAACGGCGCATGTGACAACTGGGAAAATGTAGTGTAAAATTACACCAGCAATGTATACCCTGCTTTTTTTTTTTTTTTATCCCAGAAAAGCCGTCTGTTTGAAAGTGATTTATGCTAAAAATGCTGGAAAAGCTTTCCAGACTGAGAACAAGTTGAATAAAGCAATCATTTTTCTTTAATTCATTCGTGATTATCTGTTCAATGTAGTCACAGAGTGCATGAGCGAACTCAATCGTTAACTCGAGAGTCTCCATTTGGCACTACTGACGTATCTTTATTTACAAAATCCTCAGAGCCGCACATATTAGCACGTCTAAAAACTGCTATGGAATAAAATGGTAGTTTTTCAGTTTATGTATGTTTTTAATGTCCATAAGTTTTATTTAGTAATTTGTGACCGTTTCTCTCGAACATCGCACTTAGTCTGGACAAGAAAATCGCTTTCTGTACCACCAACACAAACGTAATGCGCAGAGTTTGACAAACACTATTGGCACTTTAACTAGACTAAGATTTAGTCTTTCTGTTTCATGCACTCCTTTTGGGTGTGGCACAAAACAAAGCATGAATGTGGACGAGGACGTTTTGCCAGTTGTTAACCACAGCAGAGCATCTCTTACCCCGTGGGCTTGTTTTCCTTGTACTGATTAAATTTACTTGAACGACAGGTTAGATTTTTCTCTGAATCGCAGTAAGACATTGTCGAACTGCAGTAAAAATCGATCAGCTTTAAAGCTCTTCAGAGTGCGCGATTTAGAGGTTTGCCATCATAATCTGACAAGGTATTATTAAGAATGAAGCTGTTAAATGGTATTTAGTGTCAGGTGATGGTTACATATATGAATGACTTTTAACTGTATGCTTTTTTTTTTTCTTCTGTTTGTTCCAGACAATCATGCGGAATCAGCCACCAAAAGCAGAACGAGTGAGGATATCCTCCGATCCTCCAGCCTGTCCACCTACTCTCCAGAGCCATACACGCAGTCTGAGTCGGACTATTATCCGTACACCAGCTCCCCGAGAGGTAAAGAGCTGTCAAGCTGCTTCTTATTCGTTTTTTATTTTATTATTTTCTTCACTCGCTCTCTTTGCTGTTGCTGTTTTCTTTACTCTGAGCTACATTTTCATATAAGGGAAATCTCTTTTATGTCATTTCTCTCTCTCTGTCTCTCTCAGCCTACCGGGCGCCACGGCGACGCTTCTCGACGGGAGGAGATGAAGAGAGTTGGAGTCAGGGTCTTCAAAGAGTGAGAGCTCCACTGTTTTCTCTCTCCCTTTCTTCAGAAAGTGATTAAAGTGACAGTTCTCCTCTGTGAAGAAGCAAAAAAGAAAAAAAACAGCTTTTTTTTTTATTATGACACCAAAAATCACTTCTTGTATTTAAGGAGTTAAAAATCTTCCTTGTCTTCTCATTTTCTCCCGCCCCCCGCCCCCACTCTCTTTCCTTTAAAGATTGGGAGTGGCATCGGACGGATGATCCTCAAGGAGGAGATGAAAGCGAGATCTGGTTCCTATGACAACGACCCCTGGGGCAGCGCGAGGAATTCTCGTTGCGGGAGCAAGGAAACGCTGAACACGACGGGCTACGGCACGACGGCGTACAACAACACCATCAACGGCTGTGAGGACAACCCCGCCCTTCTACCCCCCTGCCCCCTTCCCACTGGCTCCTCTTCCACTCTCCGTCTTAAAGTTCACGATCACTTGCAGCTCTGGGCGCGGCTGCTGTTCCGCCTCGCCCCTACCCTGTGCACGAAAGCATTTGAACAACAGCGTTTTATGAGCTTCAAAATAAATCTGTTGTCAGTGGGCTGTAAGTGGAGGGCAGCGCGGTTGGTGACACAGGGTCATCGCTGGCGTCGGCGGTGAGGGGGGGAAGATGGAAGAGTAGCGAAGTAAGAATGGCTCGATTGTCTGAGCACAGCGTATGTTAAAATGCATGTATTATTATGGTATTGAGAAGAAAAGTAAAAAAAAATCTCGACACTATGATGCATAAATAAATAACAGCCTGCCTTTCAATTAGATTTAGAAAAGCAGAAAAAGCCCACTTAAAACACGTGTGTCACACCTGCTAAAATAGAAGGATATTACCATATATGACGATCTCCCTTCCTTTAGTTTTTCTTGACAAAAAGAAGCACACCAGTAGGTGAATGTGTGGCCACGCTACAAAGATCGTCAGTGCAGGAAGTCAATCCATAAACACAGTTATGGATTGTTGCTTGTCGCCCACCAGAACCATAGCCTCTGCTGCGAACACCTTTTGGCCCGGTATTATGAAACAAGTGGAGTCTTGGATTGTCTGGAAAGTAACAAGAAAAACCTGAGGGACATGGACACAACAGAGTCCATTCCTCTGGTTCTAGATTCCTTTGGCAGGAATAAACAGCCAGACCACTGAGGTGGCTGGGCGGCCTTTAACTTTCCTTCTAATCTCTTGACTGCGCTCACCATGGAGGCCTTTTAAATCCTTCCAGAGAGTACCGGTTTGTTGGGTCTCTCAGCCGCTCCACTCGTACAGCATTTCTATCGACTTCCTCTTCATTACTGCGCAAATTACACAAAATAATATTCACTTTGAAAACTGGAATTCAGCCTGCAGACTTTGCCATCACTACTTTCGTCTTTGTAAGTGGTTCATTCCCTTCGCTGTGTCATCAGTGCTCGTGTTTTGTTTTCGATGTGCAACATAATCACTCCTTAGCAACTTCTGGCTGTGATCTCGCTTTCCCCCGCCCCCATGCTTTATATATATATATCAATTTTATCATGGAAACTAATAGAACTATTGTGAGTTGAGATGAAACACAATAGAAAATACATTTGTAAAGATTGTGATATATATACCCTTTAAGATATTCACAAATGGTAGATCTGAAGCAATTTATGTTAAATTTTAATCCAAGCTTCGGGGATCCTGCACACTCCTACTTATCTTCTCACATTCTGATACCAGTTTGCCTTTTGTACGACCGAAATACTTTCTTCCCTCTTTTACACCATTTCACATAAACAGGTTTGCTCTCCGTGGACTACTTTTTAAAAATCTCTCTGTCTTTGTATTTATCACACTGTCTTGCCTTCACAGCTGACAGCCCCATGTCCTGTTTTATTTATGGGCACCAAGATCTCTCATTAAAGCTGTTTTCCACATGGGAGGGAAAAACCACTGAACAGAGCCTGGTTTTGGATCTGGTCTGGAGGCTTGTAATCAAACGAGCTGCAGCACGTGGAAAGAAGCAAAAAATCCTCCCAAAAAATATTCAGCAATGTGTGTGTGTGTGTGTGTGTGTGTGTGTGTGTGTGTGTGTGTGTGTGTGTGTGTGTGTGTGTGTGTGTGTGTGTGTTGTTTCTATCACTCACTGCCCC